TGCAAATGAGGACACCCAGCCTGAGAACCAATGTTAACTTGATTAAGGTCACACAGCCAAGTAATTCTCCATGGTGGGATTCAAATCCAGGTTGGTGTGACTCCCAAGCTGTTTCTTTCTACTGGCTCTCTTGGTGCTTCACTCTGGGTTTTTTGACTGGATGAGGAGGAGAGAAAGAAATCATGAACAGAAGGGAGGAATTCAGGAGCTGGAGAAGAGGTCGGGGCAGGGGAGATGCTTTTTGGGGTACAGTTGTGTGTGATGCTTTGGTGTAGATTGACTTTGGGGCACAGGTATGTAGCAGGCTTCAAACTCAGGTCTAGCTCTTAAGAAAGCACGACCCAATGTGTGGGAGAGGCCAGGTGGGCATGCAGGATGGAGCAGAAAGGCCGGACACAGCAAATGGAAATCACCAGTGTTTATCCCTGAGAGCAAAGGCTGGGTGAGACCCAGAACAGAATGTGACCAGCAGAGTTCCCTGAGATGGTCACATGTAGTAGGTCATAATCTTGAGCCTGCTGCCAGATGTCCAGGGGTGCAGCCTGTTCACTGTTTCCAGTGTGGGTAAAGCTGGAGATAAAGGAAATCCTGGAACCAGGCTGTAAGCTCTGAAACTGACCAAATAAGCCAAGGGGCCTCTGCAATTTTGCAGAACCAGCTCAGGTGATAAACACAGGCCCTGACAGCTACTGAGCTTTATGGCCTAGGAGAATTCCAGAGCCCCTGGGATGGGGTGAGTTAGCATAGGAGGCTGGTTTTGCAGAAGTGAAACATTACTCTTGGAGAAGAAATAGGAGGGGAATCTCTTGCTACCCAGGTCAGTTCCCTCTGTTTTGCCAGGTTGCATTTCCAGTCTTCAAACCTCTGTCAAAGGCAAAGGCCCTGGCATAGGTGGTTCTACTCTTTAGTCACCTCCTGCTTCTTACCTCATTACCTCTGTGATAAAAGAGGGAGGCTGAGGAGGGCATACACAATCCTGGCCTTGGCTGAATAGGAGACAAGGTTAACTTCCAAGACCAGAGAAACCCAGGTGGTTTGAGGGCACTTGGGAAGTCGGAACAGGTTTGGATCATTGGAGCCTATAAGACATGAATGACAATTAGCTAAAACAGCAGAGGCTGGGTGGCAGAAGTGACTCAGCATAGTGTGGTCAGGAAGTTATGGGATGGAAACAGCAACCTAAAGGAGGGTTTGGGATCCATGTATGGGCAGATGAGACCCACAGAAAGAGCGAGGTGCAATGGTCAGCCTGGGTGCCAGGTGGGGCAGGCAAGTCTAGGACCAGGGGAATTAGGTGGGCAGGGAGGAGGCTCAGAGAAGGTGAAGCAGGGTTCTCAGGCCTGAGGGATTGGAAGGGCAGGGAGAAAGAAGGCAGTGGATAGGGAATCGAAGCTCAGAGTTGGAGGATTGGGAGAAAGAGCAACTTTGAGTAGTAACATGTCCCAGGGTCTGGCTTTGTTGGAAGTAGTTTGAAATGGAGGAAGAGGGTGTGATGGAAGGTGAGGTGGTCCTCACATCCGTGATTTCCCGTTGGGTGGAATTCTGCCTGGAGATGATTGATAGGTCATGGTAGAACACTGGATTCAAGAAAAATCTTATCTGACTTCTTCCCCAGAAAGGTCTGGAAAGGGAAATCTTGAGCCTGCCTGTTAGAAAAAGTATGAGCATTCTTTAACCTGAGAGAAGGAAAAGAACATCAACATTTATGAAACACCTATATGTACAGGTAGTCTAGGGTCTTTTATATAAATTATATCATTTCATTTTCAAAGTGACTCTCCAAGGTAGGGATTACTGTCTAAATTTTACAGATAATGATGATGCTGAGGCTCAGATGAATGAGATCACTTGCCCTTGGCTCCTTTGGTGAGTGATACAGTTTGAATTGGAAGCCAGGTCTGTTTTGTTGAGAGCCACAGCCGATGCTGAAAACTGAGACTCCATTTTTAAATTTCAGCAGAGGTTAATACCATTAAATTTATCAGGAGGATTCTAAAAGCCATAGGTAAATAATGTTGATCAGAGTAGGAGGTTAATTCCACAAGGATGGGAATGATGTCCCTCCCGTTTATTCCTGTGTCCCCAGCACCTAGCTTGCTGACACATCATTGGGACACAGTAACTTCTTGTTGAATATCGAATGAATGATAATAAGCAAATCTATTGTGAGCAATGAATAAAGAAATGTAGGACATCTATCACTGAAATGGAAATTCCTGTCCATTTTCAGGCATCTCCGTGGAGCGTGGGGTGAAGGGATTTATAACGCATCTGAAGACCCAATAGGGCTTGCAATCTCTCTTAACAAGGGGAGTTTAGGAAATTGGAGTTGGCTTTGCAACTGCAGAATGTGGACAGGGATGTAGTGGTGGCTCCGGTGGATGGGAACCTTTCATCCACACAGGCCACAACCACAGTTAGGAGCCTCTAGTTTCCCAAGGGGACATCAGCCTCACCAGCTGCCTTCTCTCTCCAGGTTCTATAGATACAGCTTCAAGAGCTCAGGAGAAAGCCAATTCCCCAGAGTTGTGCCAATGGCAAAATTTCTTCTCCCCATGGCGTGGCTGGAGGACCTCTGGGGAAGCACATCATAGCCCATGGGTGTTCCCTCTCCTTGAGGTGTTGTTGATTTCATCCTCTAAGCGGGAAAATCACTACCTGGACAACAGAAGTAACACTATGGAGAAAATACCGACTGAATATTCCCTGGTGAGCAGGTAATTTTAGAAATCTTTAAAAAACTTGGTTTCCTCTGAGGAATGGCATGGAGGCAACTTAAGTTACAATGAACTGAGACAATGCCGTGAGATTCTTTAGTCGTCAATGTGAGCTCCAAAGCTACTCACCTTTCCCTTTTTGCCCTGGCTTCCAGGACACTCAACCACAGCAGTTATGTTTTTCTCTGTGGTTGACATAGTTACATATTTTCAGACTCTTTGCCTGAACTTTCTGTTTATGTTGTCTTATTTCATTGTGATTTAAATGGCCTCAAAATTTTTTAGAAATAAATACAGTGGAAAATGAAATGCAGTGGAATAAATGGAAGTGAAATGCCTCCCTGCCCCCTTCAACCCAGGGAATCTTCTTGACTGAAAAGGGGCAGGCACTGACCCTCCTGGGCACAGTGACCACCAGGTGGCACCAAAGTCTTCCCACAGCCGTCTTCAGCCACACTATTTGGCCTGAAAAGTGTTTCTGTGTGGCCACCTTTTCTTGGACTGTGCTTCTCACACTTGGAGTGTCACCAAGTCCAGAATACTCTGGGTTTAGTCCTAGGGACTGGCAGAGCTGACTGAAGGCAGTTGGTTTGGCTTCTTTCAGACATTCAACTTCTAAGATCAATGATGCAGATATTTCCAATGAACCACTCCCACCAGGGACAGGGCCGTCAGGGGCTGTGAAGCCGCTCCATTTCTCAACCCCATCCCAGGCACCTGGAGGGGAGAACTGCATCCCAAGTGGAGCGTTCAGGGAAGGTTCATGGGGCATGGAAGGAGACTTTTCACCTTCGTCAAATATTCAAATGAACATATGACTGTAATAGTGGACCGTAATTATCAACACCTCTAAAACAGAAATTAAGTGTTAAGAAGAGGCAGTGTGCAGACACTACCATTTATATTTGTCTCTGTTATTCATTCAGAAAAACTGTCATTTAAATAGTCACTTCATAACTAGACCTCTATGCCCCAAGTTAGCAAAAACCTTTGGTAAAAGTTGGAAAAATACATATCATCTTTACACTTAGGTTCTTGATCCCTAACAAATTCATTGTGTAATAGTTAAGTGTGATAAAATGTGTTTCCCTTGAAAAATCCTTTTTCCCATGTGGACTTCTCATGCTGTTTTTTCAAGACTTTGAAGGATCTGAACAATTGCATTTCCTGAGGCTAGAGAAGTGGAACCTAACAAATGAGGCAGGGAGGGGGTGACTGTGTATGTGTCTGTCCAAACCAGGCCCATGGAGCATTGTGGCCCAGGACAGAGAAGAAGGTCACCCAGTGTTCAGCTATTCCCACTGCTCTCTTGAGATCCAGACTTGGGTCCACTGGCCAGACTGGTTGTCAATTCTGCTCTGAGGTTGTGCGACATACACAACCTTTATTTATTGTTTTCTTTTTTTGTGGTTCTGGGGTCAAACCCAGGCCTCATGCATGCTAGACCAGCACTCTTCCACTGAGCTACATCCCCAGCCCACCCACCATGGTCAGCTTTATTTTTCCTTAAGAACTCTCTTCAGAAATTCTGAGTCTACTCGGACAGATTGGAGAATCTGTGCATCTACAGAAAGTTGGGGGATAGGAAGATCTCTGCATTTCTCCTGATTTCTTAGGGCTAAAGGCAAACACGTGTTCAAGAGTTTTCCCAACTGGTCCCCTGGTTTTTCTGGGGACATGTCAGACAGTGTAGTCCAAAACTTCACTGGACATCCCTACTCTGGGGCCTAGGTGCTCAAGGGGCACCAACACTAGATCCAATTTGCTCTGCCAAATGTCACTTCTACTTTCTCAAAGGCTCATCCCTTGCTCCCATGGGTCCCTCTGATGTGTGTTTTTTTTTTTTTTTTTTTTTGTGGTACCAAGGATCAGACTTAGGGCCTCACTCATTCCAGGCAAGCACTCTGCCACTGAGCCACATCACTAGCCCTCTCTGATGCTCATTTTAACCAATTAAGGTGATCCAAATGATTTTTGTAGGGTTCCTCGGGTTGGTTGGGGACATATGAAAAACATTTGACCTTTAGAGAAGATACTGGGTGGCGCTTAGTGTAGGCTTAGGTGGGACCCTGAGAAGTAACTTGGAAACGAGGCAAATGAAGGATGGGATGTGAACTTGACCAGGGCACTTACCAACCTGGATTTCCTGGGTACGCTGGGGAGAAGTACAAGGCCAAGAAGAGATGGGGTTCCAGCAAGTGGCATAAAGCTAGGGCTGAAATGGAGACTTTCTACATTACAGAGCCTCGTTTAGGACAGAAATAACTTATTAGACAACCTCAATGTTTTTTAATTGAACACATTTACTGCACATCTACAGTATGCCAGCCTCTATTACAGGGATAGTACTCCAAGAGTAAGGATCCAGTGCTGTCAGGAGTGCTTTTGGATGGGGAAAATGCTGGTGGTACAGCCAGAAATGGAAGCCACAGTCTTCCATTTTTTTAAAACATGTGCCTTTCACTCTTCAGAGTGACTGCCACTTCCCGAGTACAGCACAGGCATGTGTGCGTGGAGTCTGTAATGGGCTTGTCTTCCCTTCCCTTCTCTCCTTGTGTTATGGGGGCATTTGCGAAGGGTGTCTTGGACATCTTTAGGGGTCACTCAGTTTGGTAGACTGGACCATGAGGAGGGTGGGGCACTGAGAAAGGGTGGGACCAGATAGCATGGGGTTGAGCTCTAAAGTAACCCCAGTGGGACAACCAGTGTTTTAAAATGGGGGAGCCACTAAAGATGAAGATGGGAGCCATCACTGGACAGCTGGTCCGCTTTTTTTTTGCCTCGTTAACTTTTGCTACCGAGGAGCTTCTCTCCCGTTCACTGGAGGTGATGTCATTGTCTCTAAGTTATCTTTTCTCTGCCATCTGATGTTAGCGTACTACTTTTCACCATCAGCTACGGACTTCACGTCATATTTCCAGGCAGGAGGTAGACTGGGAGTAGTTTTCTAGAAACTGGCTGTGCAGTAAGAAGCCCCTATTGTTCTACGTCCGGTGGTTCTGTAATCATTGGCTTGACCCGAGTAGCCCATTTTCTTGCTGTTACAACCCCCAGAAGCAGTGGGTGAAGACTTAGGTTCTTGCTGTTGACTGTGGCTAGAATCTTCAATCAACTGTAGGTAGGAGGCTAGCTCAGGGGTTGGCCAGCAGGGGTTGGCCAGCTACCACCGTTGAGTCAAATCTGGCCTATCACCTATCCTTGTAAATAAAGGTTTTTGTTGTTGTTGTTGTTGTTTGGTTCTAGGGATTGAACCCAGAGGGGCTTAACCATTGAGCCACATCCCCAGCCCTTTCTTTGTGTTTTATTTAGAGACAGGGTCTCCCTGAGTTGCTTAGGGCCTTGCTAAGTTGCCGCAGCTGGCTTTGAACTTGTGATCCTCTTGCCTTAGCCTCCAGAGCCACTGGGATGTAAATAAAGTTTTATTGCAACTCAGCCACTCAAGTTCATTTACATTTTATTTTTTATGTTACAATGGCAGCAGGTGCAACAGAGACTGAGAAGTTTAAAATCTGACAAAGTTTAAAATATTTACGATCTAGCCCTTTATCAGAAAAGTTTGCTTATTCTTGGTCCACAATTCAAAGAGACTACATTTTTGTTATTTACACTGGAGTAGAATATTACAAGTCGGAGACCTGGGAAGTCCAGGATGTCTGAGGCAGGATCTAAGGCTCTTGTTACGAGGACGGCAGGCCTGAGGCTGTGACTCGGTCTGATGGCAGGTAATGGCTGCCTGGAAGCCGGTATTGGGAAGGATTCTGAGGCTGTATCCGAATGGCATCTGGGTACTTCCAGGGAGATGAAATCGGTGCCATGAGTAACTTAGGCAAGGAGCACCCGGCTGGGAAATGAACAATGCAGATCCATGTTCTTCTTCCCCAAAGATAAACAGCATCCAGGGACAGCTTGGCATGGCCCAGGATGCTGGCACTTGGCATTGCTGAGGTTTGGAACTGTAAACATACCCTCACAGGGGGATTTAAATACCATTCACACTGTGACAGGAGCACACATCGGACAGGAAAAGCCAAGGTCGGGCGACAGCGCCAGCTTTAATTAAGGGTCTCCTGCACTTACCAAAGGCTAGTGGTGCACCAGTGTTTGTTCAGGACAACGTTTTGTATAGTTTCCCATTTGAGGGAGAGGGGCATTTTGTGCATCTGTGCAATCAAAATGCCAGCTAAAGTGTTCCAAACTAGTTAAAAATGAAAAACATAGAATGTGTGGCCACAAGTGCTTACTGGAGAAAGCAGTATAAAGTGTGGCTCCTGTTATTTAGATAAAGACATATATGTAGCCCTTAGATTGTGCTTTTTAAGTAAAAGACTAGTAAGCCCATTATACCTAATATCCTCTTATTCTTTAAAGTTAAGGAACAAGTCCTCCTCAATGATCCAAATCCACCCAGAGTGTTGTCTTCTGCGGCCCCTCATTCATTACTGTGAATGTGCTGTTGAAAAGGTATACAGGAATCTAGGTTTTTGGAACACAAATCACATTTTAAATGCACCAAGAGTCCATTAATCATGCTAAATTCTAACAAAACGCATTAGCTACTTTTGCATAAATCCAGATTTTCAGCTGTTGCGTGACTTCAAAGTGAGGCGTTCTGCAGTCTGATAGATGTTGATAGCTGTCTTATTAAGTTGACTTGTCCAAAATAATCAGGGCCACTGTTCCCTGGCAGTGTAAATAACTGGAGAACCCAATAAGGTGTGCATTCTCTTACTGTGAAATGATCTTTCATGCAAGTCCTTAGTATCTTTCCCACATTCAACATTTTGGCTTTAATTGTTTTTCTTTCACAGCATGAAAAATTGCCAGATCGACTCTGGCTGACTAGGTTTTCCTTTCATTTCAAATAATTATATGAAGCATTTAAATTGTATAAGGGCACTAAACCACGTATCAAACTGAGTAATCAAAAAATATATTTTATGACTGAAGTTGGTTGAGAATTTATTTGCATAAAAATGTCTCTATTTTCTCACTGAGTCCCTAGAAATGTACCACCTCTCAGCTATAAACAAGTGGCACGGCAAATGTGCTAATGATCCCCCTGAGATGGATAATGAAGTCCCAGGCTGACCTGGGGTGCAGGCCTGAAACACTGGTGTATACAGAGAGCAGAGGGGCGGGGGGGGAGGGACCTGAGTCTTGGTGTCAGCATTTGTATTTGGAAAACAAGAAACGTTCAGATGTAGAACTCCTCCATGTCGTTATCCCTAGGACCAGCCAACTCTGGGGGTGGTAACGCATCTTGGCCAGTCTGTGTGGCTTTGGGAGCATCACAAGAGGCCTTTGGGGATGGCTCTGTGAGTGAGGAGGCACTAGAAGCCGAGGGAGCAGAGACAGTTTTCACTGAGCATCTGGCAGACCTTTTGGTAAAGAAAGGGAGGGAAGCCCAGGAGGCCTCTGTGGTCACCCTGCTGACAGCAGGCAGCGGTCCTTCTCGGGGCCCCTTCCATGTTGACCAACGGCTGCTGCATTTTTCAGAGGGGAGGGAGGTTTCTGCAGTGCTGCAGAATCTACTGGGTGCAGAATACGCAGAGACTACGGACAGGTCAGAGGAAGAGAGTCGGAGGCCTGTGTCCACATCTGTCTCCTGGGCACCCTCTAAGTCATCGATGGAGAGGAGGTGGCTATGCCTACAGTTCGATACCCTGTGTTCTGGCGGATCTGTGTTTGAAAACCACTGTGGTTCAGCTGAGGAAGCTGGGGAGGGGCCTCCGGTGGGCAAACAAAACAAGGATTTGCTTCTCTGGAAAGACCAGGGGGCGCTGGGGGTGCTGCTGGTTTGCCTGGCAAATTCTTGCTGGTGCCCACTAGGCAGGCCTGTCTGGCCAGGCCCCAGGAAACGGTCGTTGTGCAAGGACGGTTGGCTGCCACTTGATGTATGGCTTGGTACAGTGGCGCTTGGTGAAGGAGTGGAGTGAGCTTTCTTCTCGGAGGAGCAGTGTGCTCTGCTGGGTTTGGGGAACTTCTTGTACACCCTGTGTGCCTGTGGGGGTCAGAGAGCACACCTTGTTAGTCAAGACAGGGATGCGCTGTGAAATGCAGCATGAAACACAATGTCTAATCATTGGAAACTTCCAGCGATGTCTCTGCAATACAGAATTACCAGAACTTTTGTTCTCCAGATTTGGAAGCAAAGACTAAGGCAGCAGAGCTCGGAGGAGCCTTAGGCAATAGATGCAGCTAGTCCTCTTCAAAATAGGAAATAATACCCCTTAAAGGACTCATGTGAAGTGCCCAACAAACTAGCAAAAAGAATAAGGGCCAGGCGGTACATGGGAATGGAGATAAGAATTACGACGAAATGCAGAAAGAGTGTGTGCAGGGCTCATGCTTCTCTCTGACCAAAACATCATCACGTGCTGCCCTGTAGACAGCATCTGGAAGTGATCAGGATGGGATGTGCACACTGACATGGGACTGGATTCCAGGACACAATGGGAGGGGTGGCTCATGGTTCAGGACAGTCACTCTGCCATGAGTGAGGTGCTACCAGGAGATAGATTACATTTATTTACTAGCTGTTAGGAAATAAATAATTCCTCCCTATATTTTTTCTTCAAGAACCTAGGTACAAGTTAGGAGAACTGCTAACTGCTGATGAATCCTGAGGATGTTCAGTTGGGCGAATACCTCACCCCTCCCTCCTATGGCGTATACCCCTCCCCCTGCCTCCACTGCAGCTTATAGGAACTTGCTTTTGCTGCACAGAACTGGGCACCTCTCTTCCAGGGCCCATTTCCACCTGCTCTGCTTCCCTGAAATTCCCCTTCTGGTCTGTGTCCAAGCCTACAGCCAACCTCATGATGCAGATTCCAATTAAATAATGGGTTGGAGGACAGAAGGTCTGGCTTTATTTAGTATAGAACCATCTGATTTATGAATCCCTGAAGTAACAAAAGTGTTCTGACTGCAGTTTTCTAGAAGGGCTATTTCCTTCTAGTGAATATTCAGCAGATTGAGATCACGGCCTTCACAGGAACCTGGTTTTCTCATGGAGGAAATTTAGCTCTGCTACAGGTAAAGGAGGAGAAAATACAATGAGAAACATTCTATTTTTGACCACATGAAATGTTACTTCATTGGAAGGGTCAAAGACAAAGAGACATAGTTGAGACAACAGAAATGTGATGGCAGATACCATAGGGGCACTGAGAGGGAGACCAAACCCACCCAGCAGAGGTGGCCTTGCAGGTGAGCCTTCGAAGGTGGGCAGCTGTGTTTCTAAAGCATAGCATGAGTAGAGAAGGTGCGTACCGGAGAGAGAAGCCAACGCAGCTGAGGCTGGGGGTTGGCAGGTAAATGAGGGGCCTGTTGAGGCAGCAACAGTTTGGTCTGGTTAGAGTCCATGAAAAGCGGTGTGTACAGTACTTGAAGGGTGCTTAGGCCTAGAAGCACTGATCAGGGGTTGGGGGCATGAGCCAGAGCAAGAGGGGACTCCAGAGAAGCAAGAGGAGCCAGTCATGACTCTTGAACCATATGGATCCCGAATCACAGGCAAATACAAGAAACCTGCACTTCAAATCCTCAAGGCTTTATAGCAAGATGGTGGCACACAGCTGGGTGGAGGAGAATGGGCTGGATAGAGATACTAGTGGAAACAGGAGTACTGCTTAGAAGGCATGCAGACGTCTTTGGTTTCTTAGACAAAAAAGCCACATTTGCAGTTGTTTGCATAAGGTTCTTCTCCATTGTGGAATCAGATGTTCAGTAAGTGCTATGAATTCTCTGCCTGGCTCTCCTGATCCTCTCTGCAATCCTCAGTCTCTGCATTGTTTGTATTTTTGTGTTTTGGTCCCCATATCTTGGTGATATTCACCCCTCCTTTCAGGCTCTGCTTGGCATATTGAAATTCCCAAGTCGTTCTACTAAGGGCAGTTTAAGAGGTAAAACACAAAGGGAATTAAGATTTCTGATAGTGTGAATTATGGATCCTTAAATAAGATGACGCAAAACGCTTTGAGGGCAAGTACTAGGCAAGGTGTGCGTCTTCTCACCCCACAGGCATGGTCACCATGTAACTTCAATTTGGAGCAGTTCCAGACTTTCTGGGCCTGGGAGCCTCACTGAATAAGTGATGGGAAGGTTTGGGCAGAGATGGGTCCTGCTAGGGTATGACCAGAGCTGGTCACTTTGTGCTCCATTGTCCCTGAGACTCCCAATCCAGCCCTGGGATGGTACTGTCCTGCTCCCTTTAATGCTCTGTCTTCTCTGCAAGGCTCTGGGCTCTGCAAGGGAGACCCTGCTCAGCACACACTTTGCCCAGTGGTGGGCACATAACAGGAGCATAAAATGGAGAGTCGCTTCTTTGTAACAGGGTAAGTAAGAAGCAGCCCCAGAAGCCCCAGAAGCAGCCCCAGGAGGTCACATCTGGGTAACTATTAGAGAGACAAACCAATTACCTCCATCATTGAGTCTGGCTGAATAAGAGAAAATAAAGGGTGAAGTTGTGGAGAGAAGGAAGTCCTTGGGGATAGAGGTGGCTTCTGAGGCAAAGGAGGGAGCAATGTTTATTAACTAAAATGTCTATTTTATTTTTCCCAAAGATCAATTCTCCTGGGCTTCCAGTGTCATTTTCTAATCCATAAATATGCGCTATCTTGTGACTTCCATCTTTAGTCTTATTAGAGATCATGCTCTTGGTGAGGATGCTAGCAGTCTGAATCTTTCATGAAAAAGAAAGCCTCTCTGGGTATTGCTTCTTGAAACCTAAAAGGTCAAGTTTCCCATGCTAGGGAATCTTTACCTTTTGTTGTCTAATAATGCTGTTTCTCTCTTTGCTAAAACCTGGCATGACCTTAAATTCTTTGCTTTGACATGTTCAAGACCCTGAAAGCTGTGACTCTGGAGAGACCTCTCCAGGTCCCTTCCTGGTGACAAGGTGACTTCCAGCTCTTGGGGGCTGCCTTCCTGAGCTCCTCCAAGGGATGAGCTCAGGAGGGCAGCATGGCCATGATATCAGCTCATAAATCTTTCCACTGCCAAGCACAGTGGCTTAAAAATTAGGCACGACTGGCAGAGGACAAATACCTGTGATATTTGTCCTAATTATGATCATTTAACAGAAACCCATCTGTCCTCTGTCTGTTTTTTTACTGCATGATGGAGACAGGTGTCCATAGGAACCTATATTCTACTGCTTGGAAGAGAGGTGGCCCCTGGTCTTTGTCACTGGGGAATGCCCACATGTACAGTGAAGGTGCCTGCTGGGTGGGTGGGATTTGGGGCTGGCGCCATGCTGTGGATAATGGTGGGCATTCTGGGGCAGCAGCTATAGGGAGGGAGACTCGGAGCCTCCCTCCCCCACCCCCATCTAGGTCCAGGGCTGATGCACCTGCTGGATTTGCCTGGAGCTGACCGGGGGGTATTCCCTGGCTCTGTCCAGTGGCAGCGGGGTGTCAATGTCTGCCAATGTGGTCTTCTCTGACCTCAAGATAACTGGCGTGTGGGAAGGATGGGGCTTCTTTAGATGCCATCTCCTGGCAGTGGCTTTGATTCCTGCCTCTTGTTTGCTTCAGCTGAGACACTAGAGGCTGAGAATGAATCACAGCAGATGTTTCCAGAGACTCTCCCCCAGTGGACCCTTCCACAGTGAAACAAGAACCTGTGTCCTCCTCACACTGAGAGATATTTAGGAATATGGAGAGAACACTGAGTTTGTAAAGGAGAAATGCCCCAGTTGGAACATGGAATGGAGGCTTGTGTACAATTCATGAACTGGACAAAGGAGCCCAAAGGGATAGAAAGAGACTATTAACCTAGTGAAGCTAGGGGCTAACAGTCGATTGGACCATGATCCTCTGGCTCAGTCACCAGATCCACAACCAAGAGACCACTACCGGATGGCCAGAGACGTTGGGACCTGCCACCTACATGCCAGACCAGACCCCCTAATGGGGAAATGCCATCTTGCTTAATATTTCCCAATCCCCAGGAAAGCCCAGCCCCTGAGGATCAGTCATATTCCAGCTAATTATGTACCCTAATAAACACTCAGACTTCAAGCCTGGCTGCGTGTCCTGCTCTTGAGATAGCCTACATTGTGCCCCAAGAACACTTATCGTTACCTCTTGCTGTCTAATGAAGCATTCTCTCTTTGCTAAAATAGGACATGTCCTTAAATTTATTTCTGTGACATGTTTAAGAACCTGCAGTTCTGAGTATAGGGCTTCTCTGCCTCTGGAGAGACCTCCTCGGGCCCCCTCGTGGTGACAACATGGCTTCCAGGGGCTGCCCTCCTGAGCTCCTCCCAGGGGCAATGGCCATGGCTGTGATGTTGGCCTAGCCGCCTCACTGGAAGCCAGAAGTTGTCTTCATTGCTATTTAAGGAACTTTCTCAAAACAAAAGGATAGCATTACATAAATTAATCTGCTTAGGGCAACCAGCCAGGAAGATCTGATTATGTTCCTTACATCACTAGAAAATTGGGATTCAGTGTAGGTCCTTGAACTTTCTCTGCAACTTTGAGCACCGGTAGTCTGAGGCTGGGGATGTGATGGGGTCTGCAGGGGCCCATTTAGCCAAAGCATCTTTCTCAAGGGTCCTGATGTCAAGAGGCTCATTCCTTGGCACATGGGTAGAATCATTTCTTCTCATATTCCTGGTAAAGGTGATTCTGCCTCTCCTCCAGGAACCCTGGCAGTGTCTCATGGCTTGTTCAAGGTCAAGGAGTTCTCCTTCTGCCTCACCCCTCCTCTTTCTAAGGCCATTTCCTGTTCTCTCCTTGGCAGAAATATGACTGATGGCACTGTCTGATGTCTAATGAGCCAGCAACGGACCTTTAACCCAAAGGAATGATAACAATCAGGGGCCATCTCTAGGAATTTGGTCAATGGGTTCACATGAGAAATCAGATTTTTTTGCTTTAAAGAAAAGCATCATATTTGCCTCTCCTTTCACTTTGCTGAGGAAACTGTCCAAGAAAGAAGCCTTTGTGGTTGTTTGAATGGTCAGCAGAAAGACAGGAGGAGGATTAGAGGTTTTCC